CTGAACCAGAATTTGAATTTGATAGTGAAGAAGAAGAAAATTAAAGAATAGAAATGTAATAATCACAACCTACAACTCGTAAGAGAACTTGGATTGTCAATATAAAAAATATGCAATTTAGCAACCACCAAAATCGGTCACTATTTTCTTTAGCGACCGAATTTAATCAATCGCTAAAACCCTGGTCGCTAAGTTATTTAGCGACGGAAAAATTTTCGGTCGCTGTTTAGCGACTGAAAACTTCGGTCGCAATGATTTTGGTCCCTGAAGTGTATGGGACCAAATTAGTGACCGAATAAATCGGTCGCTAAATATTTATTTTAATAAATTTTATAGACGTCGCAAATTTGGTCGCTACGAACCACTCATATTTGGCATCTTAAGGATTTTATTTCACAATATTTAATTTTTTAGCATGTTTTGTCTTTAATTACACAATTTTTGGAAACTTCCCAGAAGGTCACCCATCCCTATATTACTCCAAGTCAAGTACGCTTAACTGTGAAGTTCTGATGAGATAAGCTACCGAAAAGCATATGCATGTTGTTAGTATAAGTAGTACAAATTAATTCATTTAATTCATCCTCAACTATCCAATCTCATACTTATATTATCTTCGAATCCTTATCATTCTGGTGTATCTGGACCGTTATAAATATATAATAATATATATAATAATTATATTACTAATAATAATAATTATATTATATTTAATTAATCTTTATTTATATATATACTTACTTTTATAATTAACAATCTACTTATTTCTATTTAAAATTAATTTTATGATACAATTTAAATTATTTATTATAAATTTAAAAGTTTAAGTAATAATTTATATATTTTAAAATGAGAAGGGTTATAATAACACTGATATAACTTTTATTAAGTATTACACCGCTCAATAACTTTATATTAAATGTGAATTTTGTAAATCCAACCGTTAGATTGAAAGTTCATATCACTTTATATGTTTATATCAATTTTTGTTAAAATTGAACAACAACTTAAAAGTAATCAAAGTGCTCATATTTTATTTGAAATGTATATATTACGTCAATTTTGTTTTACAAGAATGAAGTATCAAATCATCTTGAATTCATATAAGATTTTGTATATATGATCTAAGAGTAAAAAACTTTCAATCTAACGGTTGAATTTATAAAATTCACATTTAATATAAAGTTATTGAGCGATGTAATACTTAGTAAAAGTTACACCGATGTTATTATAACCCTTCTCTTTTAAAATATTATTTTTATAAATTAAATTTTAACATTTTAAATAAATTATTAATTAACTTAATATATTTATTCATCTTAAATCTAAGATACAAAATTCAAAAAATGTATTTATCCTTGTTTTATTTTCTAATTATCAACCATTAATAAAATACTAATTTAAAATCTTATCTAGTTATATCATAATATTTTCATATCAAGTTTAAAATCAGATATTAGTTATACAAAAATATTAAAATCATATAGTAAATTATTAATAAGATTCTAGTTAAATAATTTAAAATAATTTAAAATAATCATTTTTATCACACAACAATAAAGAAATATTAATAGTTAAAAAAATACATCTGTACTCTTCCTATTAGAAAAAGAGAGGATGTTATAATTCTTTTTTTCCTTAAGATATCACATCTCTTCTATCAATAAAATTTAAATATAATTTTTTTTAAAAATAAAGTTATCATAAGTTAGAAATATATATTATAAATATGGATCAAAATAAATAAAAAAATTAAAAAAATTCATATAATCTAATAAAAAAATGCCTAAAAATCTAATCGTAAAAAAAACTTCTAAATATTTTTTCACATAAATAACTATTAGTATTAATTATGTAGGAGTGCATATAAATATTATTTTATTATAAATTAATGACTTTCTCTTACAAAAAAAGAAAATGGGATTGATACTCAACAACAATATTATCATCACTTTTAAGCAATTTATAAATTTTTTTAAGTCTTATTTAGCGACCAAATAGAATTTCGTCGCTAATTTTAACTAATATTTAACGATCAAATAGAATTCCGTTGCTAATTTTAACTAATATTTAGCGACCGAATAGAATTTCATCACTAATTGTAACTAATATTTAGCGATCGAATTTAATTCCATCGCTAAAAAAATCAAAATTTTTGATTTAGCGATCGAATTTAATTTCGTCGCTAATTTTAACTAATATTTAGAGACCGAATTTATTTCCATCGCTAAAAAAATTAAAATTTCTGATTTAGTGACCGAATTCAATTCCGTCGCTAATTTTAACTAATATTTAGTGACCGAATTTATTTCCATCGCTAAAAAATTCAAAATTTCTAATTGAGCGACTGAATTCAATTTCATTACTAATTTTAACTAATATTTAGCGACCGAATTTAATTTTGTCGCTAATTTTAACTAATATTTAGGGATCGAATTTAATTTCGTCGCTAATTTTAACTAATATTTAGCGACCGAATTTAATTCTGTCGCTAAAAAAACAAAATTTCTGATTTAGCGACCGAAATAACGACCGAATTTAATTTCGTCGCTAAAAAATCAAAATTTCTTATTCAGCGACCAAAATAGCGACCAATTTTCTAGCAACGACTTAATTTGGTCGCTAAATCGATCGCTATTTTGATTATTCATAATCGATTGCTAAATAGCGACTGATAAATTTCGGTCGCTAATTTCGGTTGTTGTTTTGCAATTTTCTAGAAGTGTGTTGATGTGATTGGTAAGCACTCTAAAACATTTTGATAAGTCAAAAGACAATCTTAGATTATCTCGGACTTAATTTTTATTGTTAACAAACATAGAGGTTTTTTATCAATAATAAATTTTTTTAAATGACTAGGATGAATCTTTCACTAAGACACAATTCGTTAGTAAGACAAATTATGGTATATGATAGCTACATTTAGATGATTTATTAATGAATATAAGATGAACCCTTAAAAAGAAATATGCATTAAATCTTTATCATTTACGATATCTAAACAAGAAATTGACTATGTCTAAATGTTTCCTTGATATATCAAATTTAAAAATACTTCTTCGTCACCAACATTCTACAAAAAGGAAAGAAAGACATGCTTTGCATTAGAAAATGACAAACAAATCTATGAAAATATAGAAAACTGTAGTAAAAAAATTGTTTCATTATTGCAACATCCTAACACACACATGGTTTTACCTACTTGGTACCAAAAGATGATAAGTAGCTTCTTTGATCAGATAAGAAGTGAAAATTTAGTGAAAATATTTAATGCAAGCATTTATTATACCAATAAACATTTTTTGCCTCAACAAACAAATCGTGAAGACAAATAAAGTAAGCTATGAGAAAGAAGCTCAAGGATTTGCAATGGTAATCTTCATTGAAGACTTATAAAAGGAAGCTTAAAGCTTAGAAAGAAAGTGACGATAATTTAGTGACGACAATCTAGAACGAGATACTATTTCTTCACTCTTTTTGTAATCATCTTTATACTTAACCTATTATATAATGCCTTGAAAGGAAGATGAAATAACTTTGTAAACCTTAGTAACTTTAATTTATTGGGTTTGAGTATGGAGAGACATGATTGTAAAAGAATACTCATTATTTAAGCTTATAAACACTTGACCGTAAAACAATATTCGATGTTAAAGCCTTGAGAGACTTTGCGTAAAAAGAATAGTTGGGTAGATTGCTTAAAGAAGTAATTCAAAGAATAATTAAGATTGAGCCAAAAGTAGCTTGGTAAAGAATACTCGTATTTTTCATAAGATAATAGTCTTCGTGGTTGAGATGAACCAATATAAATCTCTAAGTTTATTCTTTACTTCGTCTGCCTTCTTATATTTGCTACGTTGCAACCTTGCACTGCAAAAAGTGGAGTTTTTGAGTAACACTATTTAACCCCTCCTTTTAGTGTTTCCCTTTTCTCCACAATAATATACCTGTTTGATCGATAAATTTAATTTAAATTGATGTTTTCAAATGTATTTGAAAATTCGATAGATGAATAAGACATAAAAAATACAAAGCCACTTATATGAATGATGTTTGGTTGTTATCTCCTAATGAAAGGATTGTTGTGGAGTAGAATGATGAAGACCAAGGCATTGCAAATAGTGGTGCATTGTTAAATAGGTTTTTGGGTCACCTTGCAAGAGAATATGATCTATTCCTTGTCATTTATACCAATTAGAAGAAGATTCCTAAAAATTATAAACCAAATGTACGTAAGGATATTATTCAAGTAAGTGATTATGCATTTTACTTACCTTATAATTTCAATAGTACTACAAATTGTTGTTAACTTTAATTGTCAAATAATTTGAAGGCTAAGTTTTAAATTGAGCATGCTCTTCACATCACTCATGTCTTCAAATTACTTAGCATAAAATGGAGAAAGCATTGTTAAGAATTGTGGATAAAAAGGGATGATAAGACTCGTAATAGAGATGGTTTGATTGAAGTGGTCCTAAAAGGATAAAATTAAGATCAATGAGCATATTTTGTTGACTGTTGTCTAGATTCTAAAACTAAGGTAAAATGAAAATTTTATTTATCTTTAATTTTTATTTACTCTATTTTTAAAAAAATTCTATGTCAAATATTAGGAAAAAGCTTAGAAAAATAAAAATAATAGAAAGAAGCAAACAATTTGTATATGAAAAATTATTTATATATTATGAGTTATGATAAATTTAGATTTTTCATATTTATATGTAAACTGTGAGTAACAAATTGAATGAAAAATTCACAAAATCTTCTTCTATTCAACAAATAAAATTTTATTATATTTTTTAAAGTTATTTTGATTTTTACAAAATGATTTAAGATAATTGAGCTAATATTTAGTGAAAAAAATTAGTTACTTAAATTATTTGTTTGCTAATAACACATCACTTAGTATAGAGAAAAAAAAGTTTAAAAAAAAATACACTTTAAATTATTTTTATTAATTTTAAAAATTGATTGTAGCAAAACATCATAATTTAGAAAGATAAAGCAGGAACTTCCTTATATTAATAATAATAGGGATTCTATAAGCCCTAACACAACTAGGGAAGTTTCAAACTACATGCAAGTGCAAATTAATTTTAGTACACAGCTTTTCAATTCCATAACAACTTATTTCTAACATTGACCAGCCGGAGGAAGAAGTTCTCCTCCGAGAGATCGAGAACTAGCGTAATCTACTAAGAAATTTCGAGTAAGCAATAATACAATAATGTTCCTAAGCCAGTAACGAGACACTGAGTTGGAATTGGAATATTTGTAGTATTTTCTTGATGATGTATACCACGTGTACCTGCTAAATCCTAAAGCATGTGAAGTAATTACGACATTTATTGCTTGGGTAATGAGGATCTAGGAAGCAAAAAATTTCATGCAGATAGGAGGGTTAATTTTGGCGAGAGCGAGAATGGAAGCGGGAAGAGCCCACAGGCCTTCCCCACAAATGAGTCCAGAGGCTGTTGCTGGAATCATGGCCTCTGCCTTCTTCGCATTAGCCTTGTGCCACACATAAACCACCAAACTCCCGAGGCACATATCAATCGCAAAGTACGCACCAACCAGAAAGGGTATCGCCATCACCATCGGCAACGGCATCCATTTCCCAATCCTCTTCGGGAAAACATCTCTCATCATGTTCACCGCCACCGCAAAAGCAAAGAACCCGTAGCATAGCTGCAAGCAATGCTGGGGCAGCGCCGAGAAACCTTCCACGCCCAAAATCGCCATGTTTCTGTATATCAGCGCGTAGGGAGCCTTGAACTCTCCGTGCGGGTTCCCCACATCGAACGCTTTGTAGAACATGAAGAAGCTGAGGGGAGCTATGACACAACCCAGCGCAGTGCCGATTACTTGGCATATGAACATGGCCTTGGGAGAGGTGCGGGTGTAGTACGCTGTTTTGAAATCGTGCATCAGCGTGCAAGCCACGGAGACAACGGACTTAACCAGACCACAACCTACTAGTCCTGCCACCACGCCGTTGTCTCTTCCGCTTATAGCTGCCAGCACGAAGAGTGCCACTTTCCCGTAATTGTGTGCCATGTTCATGTCCGTGAGACCCGTTCCGTAAGCGTTACAGAACGCCAGGGATGGGGCTAGGATGTAAGACACCACCACGTAGTACCATTTCAGCTGAGGAAACATCAAAGGGATTACAATTATTGAAATCACCGACAAAATTATGTATCCACTGCTTCCAATCCACATCGAAATGTTGTCCCTCAGGAACACTTCCTTTTGTTCGAGTTCTTCCGCGTGATCCCCCTGCTTGTCAGCACTTAATGCTGCACCCATAAAATAACCACCCTTGTATTAGAAGCACAATGAATATATCTGTTGGGATAAGCTTACTTTAAAGGAAAAATATATATAATTTTTATATTTACCTAATCATGTATATAATAAATAATCTTGTACGATACTTGAATTGAATGTGCATTTTTTGTTACTAAATTTGACTAATGAATGACACTGTCAACAAAAGTTAGTTAATTCAGTTACTGATGTATATGTATTCAGTTAGTTTCTCTTTGCCTCTCATTTTTTATACATGAAGTGTTTGATTTACCCCTTCTATTGATACATAACATAACACTCATTTGTATCAGTATAATTAAAGAATTGAGGCAGAGAGACACAGGAAACTTTCATCAAGGTTTGCGAAAAAGGTTCTAAAACAAGCGCTATAAAACAAGGTTATGATTCGGGTACTTTCCTCCTCGATTATTCAGCGTTTAGTACCTTGATGGAAGCTTCATACCTTTGAGTTTGAGGTATACCCTGCCCTGCCCGAGATTCTGACTAATGGTGCTTCTCATAGTGCGAAGTTGAAATTTCGGACATCGGAGCATCTTGCGAATGTTTGTTTGGTCGAGTTTCCACTGTATTAGTTTGGATAAACTGAATCCAAGGCTAGTGTTAAAGATGAGGGAGATTTTCACTATGGAAATGAAGTTTCTGAAATGTGGAAGATGGTGAAAGATAGGCTTGCATCGCCACTCTTGATTGATCGTTGTAGAAGGCAGGGTTGGATCTTCTACCTTGTTTAATGCCCCTGCCAAAGGATCTTAAGCTCTTGACTTTTTAGCTTCTTCCCGGCACTGTTGATTTGGTCAATGTGGCTTGTACCTGCTAGGAATTGTGAATTTTGTCCTCCAGCAATGAGTTGTGGGAGAAGAAGTATGAGCAGGAGTTTAATTTGCACCAGTAACAGAGTGTAATGAGTGGTTTTCCAAGCGTTTGTTTGCTGGACCATGGTCTTTAATTAAAATGCATTATTGCTAGAATGCTCGTGAATGACTTGTTGTGAATAAATAATTTTTGTGAGTATTGATCCATGGTACTTGTTTTGGGTTAATATTCAGAACTCTTTGGCCGTTTCATTTGTTCAGTCTTTTGGTTACACGTTATGAATTATTAGGAATTTAGGACTTAAGATATAGTTCTTCAATCTTTCTGCTTTATCTTTGGTTCATGTTAATTCTTCAAATTGAAAAAAGAATGTTATCAAAGCGATAGAAAGGAGTGTTATGTTGATGTATGAACAGAAAGGCTAGTTTTAAGAAACAAGACAAGAAGAGAGTGGAAAATTGTCTTACCGTTTTCACGGTTCTTAATTTTTTCAAGTACACTGAGGACCGAGGAAACTAGAATCTTGACGAAGTTGTATAAGCCATCACCGAGGATGAGAGAAACTGTTAGAAAGACCTTGTAGCCGTACAATGCTTTCATGTTAGTCTCATCTAAATTGGTAGGGAACCAATATCCCTTACGCCGATCAATGAGAGGCCATATGACTCCAAACGAGAGAACGGCCCCAAGGAGCAGAGACAAATTCACGAGGTGGGGGCAAATCATCCCTGCTCCCACATAAGTCATGTTAAAATCAAAATAGAATCTGCAAATTTCAAACAAATATATTAGTAAATATAGGTCGAATAATGGAATCGAAGCCATATTGATTCCTTAAAACCATACGTTTGCTTCCAAGCTTGCAATCCAAAGGTGGGAAACTGCGCGAATCCGCAGCTCTGTGTCCCTTGGAAGAACCACTTGAAAAAACCCCACAAGAAACTCACAGAAAAATACTTCAAGAACCCGCTGACTTGCTTCCTGCAATACAAGATAATTATCTCAAGTCATTGTCTTTAATTTGGTTTAGAAATGATTAATTATTACTTTATTACGACAAAATTCAATTTCTAGTGTTGTTCTTTTTTAACCTCATTAATCCATGATGATTTCTAATTGGATGTTTAATAGAAAAGGAAAAATATATGAAAAATAAAGTGAAACAAAGTAAAAAGTGAGTAATAGATAACAAATAGAATAGAAATTTAATTGTTAGATTGAAGAAAAAATAAATAAATAAAAATAAATAAGAAGGTGGAAATTATAATTATATACTTTTTCATTCTTTTATTTTTTTTAATTAAACAATTTCACTTATTTTCACTATTTTATTTTCACTTTTTTCATTCTATTTTTTACTCATTTTTCCTTTAATCAAACAAGGCATAAGGAATTATTATAAATATTACTAAGATTTTTTTTTTTTAAATTCAGATCAGCGTATTTTATAGAAGTACATAAAAATAATGTTTTTAAATTTTATCCTAATTATTAGGAGATTTTCATGTTGAAGAGAAAAGATTAAAAAAAAATAGAAATTTTATAACTAAATGGGATGTTTACTTGGCCAATTTGTCCCCCTGCGTATGGAAACCATTGATGAGAACAGCTGTTGCCAAGCCACTAGGAAACGTCAATTTGAGGTCAACTATCATGATCTGTTCAAGAAGAAATAAGTAGTACCAATAAGTAGTACCAGTCAATATGAATGAGTATGCCGCTGAGTTATTAGAGCTTCTCAATAAATTTTCTTATACTAATCTTTCCTAGATAATTAATTTTCTAATGGAGAGCTTATATATATATATATATATATATATATATATATATACGAGGAGGATTTAAACGATACCGGTATAATTTTTATTAAGTGTTACATTGCTCAATAATTTTATATTAAATATGAATTTTAAAAATTCAACCGTTAAATTGAAAGTTTATATCTCTTAGATCATATATATCAAATTTTATATTAATCTAAGATGATTTGATACTTCATTCTCATAAAACAAAATTGACGTAATATATACATTTTAAAATATACTAAAATATAAACACTTTAATTACCTTTAAATTGTTGTTCAATTTTAACAAAATTTGATATATGATCTAAGAGATATGAACTTTCAATCTAACAGTTAGATTTTCAAAATTCACATTTAATATAAAGTTATTGAGCGGTGTAACACTTAGTAAAAATTACACCGGTGTCGTTTGAACCTTTATTTATATATATATATATATATCGGTGTGAAGAATCATAATTTAAATCCAGTGACCAGATTCCAACCATTTTGGGTCATGCAAATTTCAAATATAGGCTAATTAACTTTTCTTTGAGGCATGGAGTCTGGTAGTGATTGACTTGTGTCAAGGCCATGAAGCCGAAATTTTATATTAATTAATTTTATTCCTTATAAACAAAGAATGGGAAGGAGAGAAAGAAAAACCAAAATGAGGAAACAAAATTAGCCAACATGCCTAGTACCAATTAATGAAGAGTATGCAATTAATTTAATATGATGGATCTACATGTTCGAATTTTACTCCTTTAGCATGTTGTATAAACTTAGAAGAGATTTTATTAAAAATCAAATTACTTATTTTAAGAATTTTTATTAAAAATCAAAAGTTCATTTTCAATAATAAAAAAAACTCATTAAAACCAACTCTTGGTCTTCGTAAACAATGAGAAAAAGTGCTCCACATGTGATACATGTGGGATAATATAGATATTATTTGAGCGGTGGATAGTGAAGGCCTAGAACACAAGACATGAGACATGGTGAATTGGTGATACGATGAGTAGAGTACCTTTCTGAGTGGAATTAATATAAAGAGGCCAACAAAGCAGACCACAAAAAGGAAGGTAGTCATCCAAGCAAATCCTGGATCTCTAACAGTATTTGGATTGTTACCCTCAGCCCCCGTTCCAGACAACTCATACGTCTTCCTGTTCAATCCCAAAAGATAAGAAGCAAATCCTCCTGCAACACAAAGTAATTAAAACATGAGAATTGAATGTGCAAATTAATTAACATATGAGATTCAAAATTATTTTCAACATACCATGAACAGCAATGCTATAGCATGAGACAGCACAAGTCTGTATGATGGTGTTCTCTTGGCGAGTGAAGGGCTTGCATATAAAACCAGCCTTGTGGAGCAGTTTGTTCCAGCTTCGGACAAACAAGAAAGCAAGGAGGGCAGCAGAGACGTTGAAGTTAGGAACGATTCCTGC